AAAACATTTTTTAATCACAAATATATTCCAAATTTTTAAACTGTACAACACACGAAGCACACATTGTCTCACAGCGACATCTTGGAGGTACATATTGCAAATTACGACGTTCTGTATTCCACGTGATACATTTACACGATGACGTCATAAAATCTTTAACCGTATACTGTAGTTTTAAAAGATATTTTAAAATACGCGCCAAACGATAAGATGGATACATATGTAATACATTATTACACACTTCACGTAAAACGTCGTCACTACACTGTGTACATTGATCAACAGCAGCCATAAAAAGTTTTGTTTTCTGATATAAAAATAAATGTATACTTCCTATGTATTCCTCGTCATGACATATCATATCAATACTAGTGGTAACCGACCAATAAGGAGGACTCCATGCACGATCCGTTGCTATATACATTGATTTACGCGGATGCATATAAAAATCAACCTCGATCAATCCACAAAATCCCAACGAAAAACATACGCAACCCATTACCACACGTCTTGTTGAATCGCTTGCAAACGCATTATTTACCATATACATATTTTCAAAATAAAAATAACACTGTGGAAAGGGTATTATACACCCGCCATTTACAATATTACTTTGTATCTCATCAATTCCCGCAGGTAATTTTAAATAATAACGCCACATTTCTTTAACTAATATTAAAAATTTATTATCACAAAACAATAACTCTTGAATTTCATTTTTGTCCTCATTCTCCCCAATATACGCATTTTGTCGTACACTATCCATGCTTACAACTAGGGTGTGAATACCACGGTGAGAAACAAGGAAAATGTCTTATAACACACGCCCCCTTGCAATTTGATAACATTCGCATACGTGCATCCCTAAGCATTTTACAGTAATAAAGTAAAATTTCAGTTAAACGATACGAGCCATGCATTCGTACACAATCAGAACACTTTACACATACAGTCTCTAGTGACAAGTCCATAGAACTAAAGTGAAAAATAGTTTCAAGAAATGTTTCCACACGTCCATAAACATATGCCCTTACTGTTTTACACATAAAAAGCGTATTCTTAAAATAAAGCACATTAAAATTATGTTTAATTTCAACATAAGGTGCACGATATTTCACGGGGTACGTATATGCTTTTTCAGGTGTCATATGAAAAATTATATCAATAACTACATAGATTTCCCGACTCCAGCATATCATCATCATTGTAATTACTTGCGTGTTCTGTTTTACAACAGAATTTAAAAAATAAAAATAAGTTTGTGGAAATGGTACAATCATTCCATTATTTACCAACCACATGGGTTTGTTCATTGATAGTTTTATAATATTTTTTCTTGAAAACGTTAAAATAAAATCCAAATATTGTTTATCCATTTTCAACATATGACTTGCTTCATACACATCAAACTTGACATAATCCACATTTCCATCACACATTCCACTCTGTACGGGAATATCTAGGGGTAACAAAGGATCATGAACATTTTGCATCCAATCCATTTCAGTCTAAAAAAAAATACTATACATCAACCCAAATGTTCGTCGCTTTAGCCTTTAATATATCTTCAATGATGTCTTGTAACAACATATAACTACATAGTATTTTTGTTCTCATAACAATCTCTTTAATTATTCTCCACACAGCAACCTTCTGTTGTCTATAAATTATGCTTCATAATACCATATCAAACGTATCAAACAAAGATGAGCTCCGAGCAAAAAAAAAATCATCATTTTTAAAACATACGGGTATACTCATAAGATTTCTATATGTCTCGTTTTTACACAAATTCACAAAACCCACATTGTACGCATTTATACCATACGCTTTATATCGAAGTCGTCCCGTTAAAACATATCGTATATTATAAACGTAATCACAGTAATAAAATGATATAACAGAAGATTCTGATATCACCGTTCTATTTTTCGACAATGTACGATTTATTAAAAGTTGTTTTATCTTTTTATCATATTGCTCACCGTCAGCCATAGTAGAACTTGTAGCTATTTCTTGAACAATTTCTGTAAATATTTCCACACATTCGCCAGTACAAGGTATCCAATATCGTAACCAAACTAGCAAAAGTATGCTAATCAACAAGGTCAACAAGGTTTGCAAATCCAACATTCTTTGCATTTTTCGTCGAATTATTAAACGACATCTTGCCAATAATTCTTTCATTCTAAGAAAAACAAATCAATCATTGTTACAACCCCACACAACGTCGCACCATATTTGGTAATCGACTTTTTCACTCGCAACCATATTTGGTAATCGACTTTCTACACTGTCACATGCATTAATCTACTTTTTATGTCTAAAACAATCGCACAAGAGTTTTCAGACAGTTTATTCACTATGGCTTCAGCACAGCAACAGCAAGATCTAAAGCTCTTCTTTGAATATCAAGGAGTCGACGAAAACAACCTAAATCGACTACATTACGTTCAAAAGTTTACGGATTTCCAGTTTTTCCGACTAGCTAACCCCGTATACTCATCGTTTGATAGAGCCTATATCAAGTGGTTACAACAACCTATTTATCAAGAAATGGAAAATAACGCAATTCTTACTCAACCTCAAACACCAACCTTTTTCAACTCTCAACCACCACTGTATACGTCACCGCCTATCCTGAACAATGTGAACGAATGCTATAACACAGACCTATTAAATATCATGAACCCGATAAACCCGAATATTTTATATAACAACAACAACGATGCAGAATATTTAATGACTGACACAACCACCGAAGTACTAGAATCGAGTAGCGATAATCAATCTCCAGCAACGTCCCCCGTCACCGTACAACCTCCCGCTACCCCCGTGAAAAAACCGCTAACTCCTATGGGTAAAAACATAAACAATTTAAAAAAAAGTCTAAAACGAAAAGCATCTTCGTCCGCTCCCAAAAGTGGTCGTCCCAACAAACACGTCCATCTTACACGAATTGCAAACGACCAAGCAGACGAGGAGAAAATAAGCTCGCAAGATGTAATTCTCTATGCATTAGACGGGACGGAGAAAAAAAGAAAAACAATTCTTACTACTAGTAATGAAACTCTTGAAACCTATAATATGAAACATTATCAATGCTATATATACCTAGGAGAAAAACGCGAACGAGCATTAGAGAAAATTAAAATACAGAAAGAAAAACTAGAAAAATTTTGTTATCTTGAAAAATTCGCAATAGAAGCATTAAAAAATCGCAAAAATAGAAAACTCGAAAAAAATGTTCTGTAAATAATTGTATAAAAATAATTAATAAATGATATAAAAATTGTATACGTGTAATATATCACTACCTGAAAAACACCCGTAATTTCAGGTTACTTACACCCGAAACATGATCGCACAACCCGCAAACACCCGCAACACCCTAAAAACGGGTGCGAAAGCATAAAAAAGCGCGAACTTCAAATCCAAATCAGTTCGGTCGACCGCGGCTTTGGAGTAACATCTCGCCCCAGCCCCCGTTCTCGTAAGAACGACGCGCGCGCGCCCCTCCCCCCCAAAAAAACAAAAATCCACACCCTCCAGAGCGCGCGACGGGACACCAACATTCCTGAAGTCACATGACCACCAAAACTCCCCCCGTCCGTACAGCCCACCACACCCATGGCCAACGCCCTTCAAGGCACTCTCGCGTAATACTAATTCCAGTTAAATTTTTCTGGTTCCCGCTCCCCCTTGTTTTTTTATTGTATATATATAACGACTACTCTGTCGAAGCGGATTTGTAAGAATCGAGGCTTTTCAAATTCTTGTGACCGCTCAGTTGGGTGACGTAATTCTCGGGAATATCGGCATCCATTAAACGGGAAATACAGGTTTTTCTCACCGAGTGGTTTGTGATGTTCCCAGGCAATTTAGCAGCTTTCGCAGCCTTCGAAAGAAACTTGCCAATTTCGTTTTTTCCGAGTGGAGCTTTGTTATACCAGATCTGAGAACCTGGCTGGCGACGGTGGTTAATAGCCAGGAAGAATGAAGAGTCCGGCTGTTTCATTTCATCTGGTCGATGCTGGGAAAATGCACGATATAACTGAACAGGACAACGTTCGTTGTGGGTTGCTTGCGCTGTGGGATAAAAGGCTCTCTGATGTTGCCCGTCGCCGTGCCTGGTCTTTGAACCTCGTTCAGCTTTTTACAACAACAATTCGCTGCCTGTTTCGGGGTCTTTACTGATGGATACGTCTCCCCACTTTAGTTTTCTCGACTCGTCACGCGCTCGAAAGCCGAAATGAAGAGAAAGAACACACCAAACGGTCCTCTGGAGAACTTCTGGGTCGTGTTTTCCGAACAAACCCAACTCAAAGAACTTGTCTTCCTCCGCCGTCGTCAACTCTCGACAAGCTTGTGGTCGGTTTCCTTTGGCGTGTTGTTGGACAAGCTCTCGTTTCTTCGCTATAAGAACTTCACGGGATTTGGCAAACACCTGGTCTTGTAGGATATTCATTGTAGAACTCTTGTCGTTCAAATATCTCTGCAAACTTCTCTGGAAGTCCTTGAGAGAAGTAGGTTTATAAACGCTGCCATTTCTCTTGCGTACATTCATGAAAAATTTCGCGAGCTGGACATTTAATTATAAAATAACATGTATATAACGCGTATTCTGATTGGTCGAAAGCCGTGTTTGGATCAGGCCATCCAAACACGGAAGACTACCGTGTTGTTGTTATTTTATAAAACAATTACTTTATGGTTTCCGTGTTTGGATGGACTGATCAAAACACTTGGGAATGTTGCTCGAGTTAAGAAAAGCGGGCAAAATCACTCGCCTTCGGCTCGTGATTTCGCTCGCTTTTCTTAACTCTCGCAACATCCCCGCGTGTTTGGATCAGGCCATCCAAACACGGAAACCATAAAGTAATTGTATATTCTTTGGCAGGTATGTTTTCAATTTCTCTTGTCTCGTATATTGATTCAAAGTACCTTTTAATAACATTTATGTCGTACATCGTCTTTTTTTTCGTGTTGTCTGGGCGCTGCCTTTCGATAAAACTTTGAATTTCACCCAACTCTTCGGGTGAAGTTAGACAAATTTGGCCATCCACTGCTCTTCTAGGCGCTAAAACGTCGTTTCTATCAATGTAAAATCCACTTTCACTGTGTTCTTCGTCGTCTGCAGACATTTTAATTTTAAAAAGTAGCCTTAAATAAGCTCGCCTTTAAATTTTCAAAAATAAAAACATTGCCTTTGCGGCTTTAAATTTCACGCGGTCGCGTAGCCAATCAGATTGCAGAAAAGCGTAAAATATGATTTCGGACCGCAAGAAAAAAAACAAATGATCATATGAGACATAGATAACGAATCGTTTTAAAATATATAGAAATTAATTGCATTACTAACCAATATGTATTATATTTGCCATCGCCTGGAGATTCCATTGATAATTGCAAAGGCTCGTTTCGCCAAAATTCAGAAGCAAGTGCCGTGTAAAATCACTATGTGTCTTCGTTGACAATCCAATAGATTATTTTCTGATGATCATCCACATCTCATGTACGTCCGTCTATAATTAATTTTATACGTACAAATCCTGTCTCGCCATGATCGGTATTACTCTTTATACATAAACACCGTCACACTATAGACTTCAATTTGTCGTTTATTACAAACAAGTATGAAATACTGATGGCCCTGTCACACTATTGCGTATGAGAGATACGTACGAGAAGCGCATGAAAATTAATGAAATAATTTCATACGCACAAAAATCATTTGAAATGCCAGCGTATGAGTACCGTACATCTGGTGTACCTCTAGCGTATTCAGCGTGTGCCTAGGGTATGCTTATCGTATAAACCATACGTCCGAATACGAACAAAATTTTTGAGCATGCTTAAAAAAAAATTCTGCATCGCCGTATGTCGCGTGTGCCACCGTATGTGACCGTGCTTGAAACATATACAACCTATGCCTATAACGTACCCCTAGCGTATGTCAGCGTATACCGGCGTGTGAGTGATATTTTTCATACGCTGGCATACGCTAGTACGATACGCAATACAGTGACAGGGCCTTTATCAGCAGGTCTAGTTATATATTCACAGCCCAGAATTCAAGAGTAATAAATAATTGATGATGAAGATTATTCGGATATTCAAGGATGTAGTCACACAACTCTTAATGTACGAAAGTCGCCACGTACTTTCCGGGCACCCTAAAATGGCCGAACAAACTGCGATCAAGCTCGCGAAGCATTATCGTGAGACTCATGATCATTCTTAAATAATTTCAGGTTAGACTTATATTTATTTTTCTTACACGCTTTGATTTAATTTTCTTGTGGTATCCTATATATTAATGATTAAAGTGGCTGTCACGTCTTTTCTGCTCATGCGTGTGCTTTGTTCACATTTGTTGTTTCAAACAATAGATAATTAATCATAATTATCTATTGGGGGGGGGGGGGGGGGG